ACTGGGAAATTGCCAAATTGGGAACATGTGTTGCCAATAAGCCCTATATCAATCACTATTTGAATTGATGATCAGCAAAGTAAAAAATAGTCGAACACAAAAATTGTTTATTATTATATATACATTGATTGTGATCATTACTAATATGTATTTTATTTAACATATCACTGTTCTCAAGAACATTTTCCAGATATTCACGTTTTTATATATATATTCTATATCCACTACCATTATAATAACAAAAAAAGGCATGCATGTAACAAAATGCATCTCTGGTTTGAAGCAACACAGATATCTCTAAATGACAAACTTGAGAAAATAAAGGGATAAGCATATGCATCAGCAAATTCTCGATACAAGTTTGCTGGTAATAAATAAATAAATTTTATATCAAACTTGAGTCTTGATAAGAGATATTGCATTTTGTATTTATGTTAAAATGTAGGATGTTAATTAGGATTATTAAAGAACACGCAATAATAAAAATCGAATTCCACTGTGAGTTTCAACTTTCCCAGATGCTGGAAAAATCGAGAAAAAATAAAATGTTTTATTTAAAACCAAATATTATTATAAATCTCAGATGGGGAGGAGGTTAGTGTTTATAACAAAATGGATCTCGGCTAATATATGGCATGTTCTTGAAATATTATATAAAAAACACGTGTAACATATTTTGCCGGTTTTTCAGGGGAATCAACACCCCATATTATAATTAACCATGCTTTTCGTTACCCTATGAAATTTCTAATACTTTAAGCCATTTATATCAATTTTCTGTAACTTTTCAATTTTTACATACCCTGAAAAGGGTAACTTATCTGTGCAGTTCCCGGGGACCTTTCAAATGGCCTTTGACAAATGTATGTGAATAGAAAAATATTGCACCAATATAAGTTCAAAAATCGCCGTCAAAAGTGGAGATTATTAGACCGCTACCTGGGATGCATCAATACTTAAAAGTATAGGTAGCTAAATTTCCATCCAAAATTAACATTACCAAATCAAACGTTGTAAATCTTAAAATTATATTTAATTATATTCAAAATAATAATATTTTGTTAATATAATAATTTATGTACAATTTTTTGAAAAAGGTTGGGCATCAAAAGAAAGGACGAACCAACAAAATCTTATCTTATCTTAAACAATTAACCGTTCACAAATAAATTCAACAAATGGATCTAACACCAATAAATCTGAAATTTTGTGCATGTATGCTTTTTTTTCCGATTATTTATTATTATTATATACTAATATAAATAATATTTTAACGAAATATTTATTTATTTTCCTTGAATAATTGCAATTTTATTTAACAAAATAAAATATTCTTTATTGCCATGACATAATAACTGGAAAAATTAATTATAATCCAATCATCCACAGCCCATGCATGCGCTTCACTGACATCATCTTTTTGAAACAATTAAATTTTAAATTCAGTTAGCAAAAAAAAAAAAAATTTTTACGAACCCACTTCTTTTTGCATAATAATTAATGCGTGAATTGTTTCCTATAAAAAATTTTTGCGATTAGTTTCTCTCTCTTTCACCCTCACATTCTATAATTGTAAAACAATAAGAGGGAAATTATTCCATTTTTTTGATAAATACTCACTCTTGACTTTTACTTTTTTTTGTCTCGGCATCAAGTCATTTATGTTTAATTTTGAGAATTCCTACCTTTTTTTAATAAACTTCCTGATTTTTTTGCGTATTGTCTTCACGATTAAATAATATTTAATTCTTTTTAGAAAATCAAAATTAAATTAAAATGACGAATGTTTTAAGACGAAATCTTGGACGATGGTTGATGCTACAAATCTTCCCACTGACGGAAGAAAAGACACGGAATGCGCATCTTTATTATCAGTTGTTATATATTAACCGCAGCAATCTCCGCGAACCTTACAGACGTATAACGACACGTCATCAATATCTAATACATATGGGGAGGTATTTCTTAGATAACGAACGAAATAACTTTCCGCAAATTTCGAGGGTCTTACTCGGCTTGGTCATTGATGATTTGACTAGAATTGTTTCCGGGTCAGAATTGTTAAAGGCCACCGTATATCGTAATCTCTTTAATAAACTTACCAATCGAGCTAATAGCAGCAATCAAGTTAGTTTTAATGAACGCGATAGAGCAGCTGCTAATGCGGCTGCTCTAAATCAAAATAATGATAACGATGAATCTGCTCTGCTTAGTGGTGGACCCGCATTCTAGTTATTATTACATAAGGTAGTAATCAGTTAGTTATCAGTTGATAACTAACTGATCAATAATAAGCATAAATCATAAGATACTGTTAAACATAAAAATAAACACATGTATAATTAAGCACACACATTTTCTTAAATTGTTTTTTTTTTTTAAAAAATCCTTCAAAAAATAAAAAAAATTATATTATTTTTACAATGATTTTTCACGTCAAGTGTCAATTCTAAAAGCAGAATTCATCAAGAGCTGCATGTAAGGCTGTTAGACTACATATCAACTAGCAATTCTAATATGAAAACATAATACTTTTTAAAAACTTATTAATTTGGGAAAATAAGAGCCAATTTTTGTCACGTACTGTATATTTCAAAATGATGATAAAATTGTTATTGCAACCTTTTCGAAGACAGTGTTTCATTATAATAGCCTGAATTTTTGGTCCAATTCCTATATACACACAAACTAAATAAAATATAAAGGTAAAAAACATAGAAAGAAATTGATAATAATTTTTAATTGATAAAATAAAAAGTTGATTTCAAAATGCACTACAAAGCATATAATAGACACAAGTTTATCTAACAAAAAATGTGATTTCAATTAATTTTGCGATCGCAATAATTGGTCACTTGAGTTGATTTTGTAAATAAGCCAACATCAGAAAAATAAATCTTACATAAACCTACGTAGGGTTCAGAATTGGCCAGCATTATGTCGATATTTTGGTAATTCTGTTAAC